AATCGATAAAGCAAACATGTTTAATGAAAAAAAAACCTTTTCTTATAACTCCACATTGCTCACCAACATTCGACTGCTCAGATGAAGGAATACTCAATTCCTGAAACGTATGAAGTAAACGATGCATCTTAATCAAATGCTGTTGTTTATGAGAAACAAACTTACGAGAAAAAAGAGAGGGACAGATTCAGATCATATTCTATACGAAAAAAATGAACAATATCACCTAAATAAACCAAAAAATATGCATCAAATGAAATGATTTTCACTCACATGTCAATGGATGCTAACTATCGCTTAAAAGTGATGGAAATCACTGAACACCAAAGGAAAACGTCAGTTCCGTTTTTTTCTTACAATTTATTTAGATAGAAATTGCACGATAGCATCCATCTCACAGTATACGGTTACTAAATAGCAAACAGTAGCGACCATGCATAATATTGCAGGTTGTTGCTTTAGAATCTTTTCACTATTGGATAAAATCATTTGAGAAGAGTGAGTGTAATAAAGGTTAAAATTTAGTGAAAGAACAAGGAAATGTCGTAAAATGGTTGGAAAATAATGAAAATTTTCTGAGCTATCGATGAGGAAATGAGAAAATCGCGGAAAAGAATGAGAATTCCGAACAAGATTAATATACACTCGCAACGAATCTCGTCAAGCCACACTTGACCAAGCAAAAACGCTACAGTACATAATAATTCTAGTGCAACTCACAAATCCCTATATGCTGTAAGAGCTTCTTTGATTTGAGGTCACCATCTTCAATCTACTCATAAGCTCGGGTCTTATTAGAAAGGTATATTCAGAAAACCTTGCCTATTACAAAAAATGTGTATGCTATCCATGCTTACTTCAAAAGCGGTTCGTCTCATGTTCTCTCACAAATGATGCAAGAAGTTCTACAAATTATGAAACAACAACCAATTTACACTTTTGTTTCCTGAAGTATTTATTTACTCAAATTCTTTGAGATACTTTCCTGATTCCTTTGACATACCCTGCATACTCAAAGATTCCATTTAAGCTCTCCTTTCTTAAAGCGTTTTGCCTTTCTCGGTCTCAATTCACTGTTCCATACTTCGATGGGAAACTTTCCAATCGTTCAAACGTATAATTACATTGCACAAAAATTCCGCATACAAAGGCAAATGTGGCCATAAACTGACTTCACCTACACTCAGTTCGAGTTCTATCAGCACATATCAACTCAACATATTTATTGCTTTCCAATATTTTTTAGTACTAGAAATAAGCCTATCTTTACTTTTATAGTAATAACAATATGTGAATGTTCGCATGCTCGATGAATGCATCATTTCCATTTTCTATTTCAAAAATTCTGACAAATTAATGAACTGCGAAAAAGGGGAATGCCTTAATCCACTTGTTCAAAGTTAACACAATCATCAAAAAATTGACAACAGCTGTGTTCACCTCTGGAAACAGGCATTAGAGCAACTGAATTAATCATTCACTCAAAAGAAGCAGCATAAATTGATGAAACGACAACCCATAATTTTGATGAACTATCGATCGAATCATCATTCAAATGGACATACTTACTGATTGGATGGGATGGATGCTTGAATAGTTCTAATTTGAGGAAAGAAATCAACAGAAATAAAGATAAGTGAAAAGAACATGAAAAATAGATACGCCATCACTAATAGATTCAGAAATGAGAAGTTGTTGATTGGGTATGATGGTTTGATGGTGGTGTTGAAGGGGTTGTTGATTCAAATGCTGAACGAAAACTTGTTGAGGCCGACCGGCGATCATAACATATTCCCGACTGCTCGTTATCTAAATCAACATTAATTACCTGATCTGAGTCTGTATTCAATCAGTCATATGAAAAAACTAATCATGCGTCAGTGCATCACAAAATATTGCAACTAAAATGTATTCTGTGAGCACAAATATTGATAGCGAAATAAAGCGCACTGAGAATTCATCCTCTCGAATTTCGAGCAAATAAAAAATCCAATCATCGACGTCTAGTAGACTAAAGTTTATAAGTGGATCGCAATTACTCAACAGGGATGCAGATAAGCATCAATTTCGATTAGCTCGAAACTCATCATCACCGCTCAAAAGAAAACCACTGTAGTGACATAGCGCACCGTGTTCATAATTCCGAAGTCCTAGCGCAATCAATTCTTTGCAAAAATCTGAAGTTGAACAAAGCCATCCACTCAAACGCCTTTGGGCAATCCCAACATTTTTAGCATCGAGAACATCATAACATCTCGTCCTACGATGGCAATCGTACATAGATGACTTTACTACTGTGATCTGCTGATAAGGATCGGCTGGATAGAGGAAATTTTATTCGAAGGCTATTTCACTTTTTCTCAAACAACCATTTCGGAAGCACATGTGATATATGTTGTCCTCCAACTGAATTTCTTTAATTTCAAAATTGACTCCGTAATTAAAATAGACTTTAACTGTATAATTTAAAATGGACATTTTACGTTTCAACGGGAATATGCACGTTCAAAACAGTATGCTAGCAACAAGTGACAATATCGTATTTATGACATTCACTGAAAAACATTGATGCCCAGTTACAACACGAATAAGCTTAATGAAATGCTAAGTTTCAACATTCTTGCGCGATCCTTTTGGCTCGCCCCCGTACATGTTGAAATTCTGGATCACCAAAGAGTAAGTTATGCTCAGATCTAGATTGGGAAAAAAACGAAACTCTGAAAAATGCAAGTTCCAACTCATAGAAATACGCTTAAAACAACCAATGTGAAATGTCACTTCAAAATCATCAATCAGCTTGAACGGTCACTGAATCAATTTTTTTTCTCGTATTCGATGCCATAGTGCACGAATTTCAACTATTGAACTTTCGTTGATTTAATCCCTCAAAATCGTATCTTTTTGACTATAAACAGTTCATATGAAAGTTCACCGAACAAAATTACCTTGGTAGGTCACGCCATCTACACATAGCCACTTAGGCGTTCTAAGCAACAAAAAAAAACCAATTAACCCAGCGACCTTTCACACTAATCTTATTGAAGCAAACTTCCATATAGGTTGATTTCACCATCTTTTTGAGAATTTCGAAATCTGAAAATCGTGATCCATGGCGCCTCAGACGATAAACAAGTCGACTCATCTACTTTCAAACTGTTTTTTTGAATCTTAATTTCATATTTGTCGTCTCTAGACTAGAAACCATATTCCTCTCAGATGTGATGTTAGAAATCTCGAAATGCGAAAAAATTTGACACCCTAATATACATATGTCAAAATATTACTGCTAAGTTCTTGAAAAGGAAAATGAAGGCGATTGAAACCTACCGGTTGCTGAGGATAATGCGAAATTCGAGTAATCTCAGTGGGCTGATGATCACGAAAGTGTACATTTGGCGCACTCGATATACCATATTGCTGTAGCTGTAATCCATGATAACTTACAGTGTCAATATTCTCAATGTTGAATTTGAATTGAAAACACTTTAACCCAGAGAAGGAAACACAGTTTACACTGTTCTATCAAAAAACGTATTAATTATTTTAACAAAACTTAAACTTCTATTACAGATAAGTGCAAATAAAATAAACGCAGAGAGTTGTCGTCGAAATGTAGTTTTTGTACGGTGCGGTCTATACTAAATGTTAAAAGAATTGATTGTATATGCATATCAAAAGTCAATGAAATAAATATCTAATCACTGCTAGAACAAAGAATGAACCGTGACAAAATGATATGCGAATGATATCGTACGACCACCATTCATTCTGGATAATAAGGTTACATTCGGTATGAAAAAAATTGAGACCTGTTGAGCGTTAAGATATGGATCAGTGTTGTAAGAGAACGCATAAGCAGAAGACGGGAATCCGATGTGTGGATGTTGTGGTTGTGGTTGGAGTTGCGCGGTGGCTTGAGGTGATGTCGCAGCTATATTCGCTTGAGGATGTGAGGTCAAACCACCCAATTGCACATTCTGAAGATACGACCATTCTTCGTTTGAAATACAACATTCGAACTTGACTATGATCATCTCAAGATAATTAAGGTGTGTTTCATTTATCAGATGCATTTCGTGATTATACTCTGCACTGTGCTCTGTCTTCTTTCTCGATTTCTTCGAAGTCCAAGTATTCTTGCGTTTGGTACACTGCCACTGCACTTGCAAGAAACATCAAGACCGTGCAGTCTAAGAGTTCTATTGAAAATTTGAGGATAATTTTCAGAAATTATTTTTTTTTCAGAACAAATGAATGCAACTAATTACCTACAAATTTCTTTTCAACTTATGATGATGAAACTACTAGTGTCTCGGAGGGTTGCGTTCGCAAGTGTGATCAGAGTGAGCATTATCGATGACGAAACTGGACGAATTTTGATAGATAGATAGAAGAGGTGTTGTAACACGTCGTTGAATGAATTCAACAAATTCAATTGCACTCGTCTATTTATTGCTGAGTAGTAGTGATTGATGCACACAGATAAACATTCCATTCATATGCAGGCAGCAGCAGCTACACTTCTGCATCTATCAAATTGCCTGTATTGTACTCCGTTTTGTTTGTCTTCTCTTCACGAAATCATTTAATTAAATTCAATTACATCGTCAACAAACGATTCATTCCGTCCATTCACAATCGCAAATTTTGTCCTCCTAGTAGAACTAATTAATCAACTAATTTATGCTCACTCTTCTTATACATCTCACATCATCAATTCCACTACCAAACTCTCTATATATGTACAATTGACACATTTCGAATCACGATCAACTTTCACATTATTGCAAACAAAAACAATTACAACTTGCTCGGTTCTTCAGTTGAAAACAACAATCATTTATTTTCGCAATTCATTCATCATCTCTAAAAGTCTCACACAAAAAACCTTATATGCTTTCCTCTATTGGATTGATTTCGTTGAAGTTCGAAATTTTGATTGTCAATCACCACTCGAGTTGTTCTTAAAAATACAAAACAAAATATATCAACAACATGAAAGCCTCCAACATTTCGCATAATTATACAAGAAACCAATAAGCATAAGGCTGATCAGTCGACCACACACGATGATGGATGGATGGATATAGAAACTAATCAAGCAGAGAATGGATAAATAAATATCCTTGGTAAATGAAGTCTTAATTGTAGTGATTTGATCAAATTCACTGACAACAAACAAGCGCTATCCAAATCATTCAGCAATAGACTTCGCTTCACTAGAGTGTACTTCACCTGAGTAGTCTATTTTTGAAACGTCGGTTTACCTTTATTTTAGTCGGATTCGATTTGTTCACCTAAACTCTACCTTTAAGAGATAAACACATAAGCATGAAAAAATTATCAGAGCGCAGCATGCTAATGAAACAACGAATGAGTATTTTATATGAGAATGACGAAGAGTGCTAACTACTAACTCACTCACATTCATCGCACACTACCAGCGTTCGTCGTTTCCGTTACGTTCCGTGCTTTGTTATCGAGTGGCTCCGCCTGAGGCCACTCGCCCCTATTTGTTAGTGCGGCTGCCCTTGCTGCCGTACTGCTGCTGGACAGTGGGTGTGAATCGAAAGAATGACGTCACTGAATAAAGACAGTTATTGGTAGCTGTATGATCTAATGGCACACAACGTGGTGACCAACGTAAGAACTTGCCTCGCCCCAGGTGACACACAACTTCTATCGCCTTCGGGAAGGCCGGTATGATGGGTTGGTCGATTGGTTGATTGGGAGGGGCGTAGGGCAACGAACTACGTCTAAAATTTCATTGAATTATGGGCGGGCACAGCACCATATACCGTTATTATCAATAACAGGTATTAATTAGTTCGTTATAACTCGAAAAGCTTATCTGCACAAAATAACCAAACGATGAATAAGTTCGCATCTGTATAATCAATCCTGTTCGATCACGGAAAGGGAGTGTTGTCATCGAAGATGTGTTCTAGTTTTTGTTATTCAAATCAATGTAGTACATTGTCTTTCTTTAATTCAATGCGCCTCTAATAATAATATGGAACAACCAAACGAGATATATCATTAATCGTACACGCTCGCAATCTCTCAATACCATTAGTAATCCACCTACATTACATATCTAAGATCGTTACGAGTACTATTTGAGGATGGATATTCAATATTGAAAAGATGGAGAGGTGTTTGTCTATTATTATCACCAATTTTGAGTGTTCATTTTTGGCATAAATCACAACTAATCACCACCACAAAAGTTATGAAATAAATATTGAAATGCCACCGATGTGATATCAAAAATAAGCGATAATACATAATTTGTTTGTATATTTTTCAATAATTAAGAATCAAAATCTGAATCGAATCAAAGGAATCAATCGAAAGCAAATGAATGAATAAATCAGTTAAAAGGATAGATATTTGATGTAATCGTTTTGTCTTCTCGTCATGCATTAAAATTCAGAAATGAATCTAATGGTGCATGCGAAACAAACGAACACAGAACATGACATGCATTGTGACGTTCACCGTTTCTTTAATTATCTTCGTTCACATCTCACATTCATCTCTTCAAAGCTGATCATCATCCTATATCTTTTATTCCTTTCATTTCCCAATGGCACAAATTCGATTGATTCATTTATTTCACAAAACACTCAAACAAATATTTATTATTAAATTATGAATTTTCATTGCATTTAATTCTCCTTTTAAGCAGCATTTTTTGTTCGTCTTGTTCACATTGTCTACTAATCCTCTCATGGATGAACTGAACAAAATAATCTACGTACAAAAAGGGTAAAAGATTTTTCAATCACAAAACTCATCACTTTTGATAAGACATGACAAAAGAAGCAATAATGGAAGAGTGTCACAAAAACTAGATCAAAGCGTTGCTCACCTAGTCAAGCCACACGTAAGCCCAGCAACGCCTAACAGTCCCATTATTCCATACTACCATCGTATAGAGAGATTTCGTTTTTGAGATGAACATATATGTTATTGACGGATAATATTAAATTGCAGAGGTATTTTTGAATGTGATTCATAAAGTTGAGCCATTTCATCGTACATTCAGGATCAATCACCAATCTACTACACGGTAAGCATCGGCGAGAAATGCACAGTAGTGACAAACATTTCTCATGTTCGTCTCAGAGCACTTGGATCGTTTCTTGTCTTGTCTCCTCACCGAGAAATTAACGAGATTTAATGAAGAACTAGACGTGACTAAAATGTCCCTAAATAACCCCCATCCAAAATCAGCTCTGTGTAAATAATGAAAATTCAAAATCTGAACCTTAAGCCACTAAAAAGCCGAACTTAAGCTACTGTAAGGTTTTTCTGAGCAGAAAACTTGCTGCAAAGATCATTTATGCGACAGACAAAACAACGAACGTGATTTGCTGCGTATATGTGAGAATTAAACATGGTCAGCAGTGAGAAAATTGTTATATCTCTTGATCCTTTCATATTTTTGAAGAGCACTTCGAAATAAGAGTTCACCGATAAATTCTGACCACCAAAATAAAGCCAGTGGATTGAAGAAATAGCTGCACAAAGAAGGCACATGTTCCGATAGAATTCATTGCCAGCCCACACAGCCAGAGACATTCAGGAGTGGGACAGTCGAAAAAAAAACTATTTTACCCTTCACATGCGGCCTGCTTACCGACCGACCTAACTGCAATCCTCTTGAGGGGCTCAATTGAAAGGATGACCACTAAGACTGCTTATACTAATAAGACTGAGCTTACAGCAAAAAACTCTGTCATTTACTCCAGAAGCAAACATTGTGAAACTGATAGGGTGTCTCTTCGGTGGCCATCAGAGTGAGAGCTGCTGTGGGTGATTCTGAAAGTAGTTTTATAGAATGGATGAACGTTTGCTCAATTTATTGTTGCTGAAGTAGTTTTTAATGAAGCTTTTAGTCTAACAAAAATGTTTCGCTCGCCGCAATATTAGCTTTTATACGCTATAAATTTGTTTACAGATCAACAATTCAATCAAAACGTTACAGTTTGATTTTTATTGCATCTTTGATTCGTCTCAATAAAAACCAATTCAAGATGATCGACCGACACAGCTAGCTCATATCTCTAGCCTATTATCACTAATTTGCCGCTGTTCGATCAGAACAGTGGATACGATCCTAATTCTCATGAATAGGTTTTCTGTACAGAAATCTCCGTTCGAGTGACGATTCTCACAATACTGCCGCCATGTGAGAATACTTGTTCGAAAGCAATAGCAGCAGCACAAGTCACCGAAATCGGTGGTCTCCGTGTGGCTAGTTGGGAAGGAATGTATTCAGAGAATATGAATAACGCAGAACGCCAGCCACACTTATGATTCACAGTTTTCGAAAAAGTAGACTGCTAACAATACAAGCAGAAATTTTGTAGCAGATCATGCATAATATTCACGAAAAAACTGTAATTTCAGTTGCTCGCTACTTATGCTCAAATTTTGCTCAAGTGCTCAAGCGCTTGAATAGGTCGTTGAAAACTCAACAAAAACATTTCAATGCTCCTTCTTGGTGACGGTGTTGAAAACAGAACCCTGACCTTTCTGGTATTCCATAGACTATTTGCTGCTGCACCCTTTTGGCCATAAATTTGTCTTTATGGTAATCCCTATGGTAATCTATCTTTGTGGTAATTTGACTTCATGGCAACTTGTCTTTATGGTAATCGTGGTTTCTTAACCCAAGGTACGCGAGATGGTATTCCAAAGCTTGCGAGCTAAGATTTTATTTTCTATGCATTAAGGTAGACGAGGGCGGATTTCAACGCATACATATGTGTGTATAAAGTAAACCAGGATGGGCTTTAACGTATACGTTTTCTAAAGGTTGGAACGTACTGTAATGATATACACTTATCTGCACTACGGACACTCACTGTAGTGAATGCCGTGAGGGGTGCGAGGACATTTTAACTATTGTTGTAGAGGATGCCGGGATACCTTAAAATCTTCTAAGGGGTGGGGGGAGAGAGGAGACCGTGCGACGGGGGGGGGGGGGGGGGGGTGAAGGTTGAGAGCCATTGATTGTCCTTAA